TGTTAGGTCTAACTCTTAGTGTGTGTTCTGCTCCGCTCACCGGTCCGTCACAGCGGGTGGAGCTGCAGGATTTCTGCTTCACACACACGTTGCATACCGCTATTTTATTGTCATTTTCGGACACTTAAAATACTGCCAGACTAGTGAAGCCATTTTGGCGAGCTTGTTTTGCCGCGCACAGAGAAAAGTGTCATGTATTTTACATGCAACGATAGCCTAATCTAAAATGCTCTCCTATGGCGTACCTTTTGTGTGGTGTGTGGCTCGTCAGCGCAGACTCTCGCATCGTTATTGTTGCACACTTTGCAGGAGGCTACTCTTGGGCTTCGCTTGACCCTCGTCTTAGCCATGGCTTGTATTTGTCTTCTGCTAGCCAACGCTCGTTGAAACGGCAACCTCCTGGCATACTGTCATCTATCACTCTCATCAGAATGCCCAGGTCACACACGTAACAAAAACACTTGCCGGTCACGCGCATTGGCCGGAGCGGGGATGTTTTATGTAAAAGCGAAGCAATTAAGCGCGCTCCGACTTCTTTATTTTCTTTTAATCTAAAAAGCGAAGTAAAGCATTTACAAATTCAAGCACCATTCCCAAAATTCAAGCACTTTTCAAACCTTGAAAACACCTCGTACAATTTCAAGCATTTTCAAGGATTTCCAGCACCCGTACGCACCCTGTGTATAATCAGATTTTTTTTCAAATTAATTTCATTGCATCTTCTGTTTTTATACTTTTTGAGTTTTTTTGTATTCTTATATGAAATGTTTTGAATTGAAAATGTATTTCAGTACTAAAACTGCTATAACAATATGTGTATTATTATTATTATTATTAACCAACATTTGTTCAACAGGTAATACAATTCATTCGGATTCTGAGTGTTTGTATGATTTTGTGGACTTTCTCATAGTCAAATATCCACTATGTTTTTTTCCTGAAAAGTTCACTTTTGGAAATGTTTTTCACCAGATAGGGATGAATCCTTAGCCTGTGAGCTACTCTCAGCAGGATACGCTCCCATAATCAACATGTAAACAGCACTTCAATAGAAGTCTGTTCTCCTCTTTCCTCTTCATCCCTCTGAATCAGAGTCTTGGTCTTGCTCTTCAGTTTCTTTGTGTATTTGATGTCGGTGCCAGCTAGGAAGCAAGTGGGTGCAATGATTTTCTCCTGGTAAGATATAGATCAGAACTTCACCGTAGTCGAAAAACATACACAAAAAAAAGCTAACACACATCCACAACAGATGAAACACCAACTGGAAATATATTCCCTGAAAAACTGAAAACACAATTTCTCGCACAGTCAGTCATTACTTGGTCGTGATGGGAGCATTCGCAGTGAAGCATATAAGAGAGGAAAATAAATGATAAGAAAGAGGTGGAAGAACAAGCCAGACTATATGGCTTAGGCGCGTGAAGGTTTGCAGACATTATTTCCTTGAGGCAGCGATGTTTGCAGGAGCGTGTGTGTGTGTGTGTGGGAGTAAGCGGTAGGTTTCAATAGAGGCAGCTTGATAACGCTCTCCATTCAGCTGTGTTAATAATATCCCACTCTGATGAGCCCTCAATCATCCGAGTGTTCACAAACACTCACTTACAAACACATATGGCTGTTATACTGCTGATGACTTTGCTATAGAGCCGTGCAATCAGAACAAAAAACTCTCGCTACATTTAGAGCTATGGAGGAAAAACGGTTCTCCTGCTATAGTGCACTACAAAAAACATCACATTTAGAGTCTTCATAACTGGTGATTAGGGGTCGATCCTAACATTACACTACAGTATTTTGGTCAGGGTTGTCCACATACTTTTGGGGATGTAGTTTGTCTCTTAAATCTTGTTTTTCCCCCCTTCATCTCTCGTCTGTTTGTGTACATGCAGAGCGTTTTAATTCAACCAAAAGGCATTATGCAATCAACATTTATGCTCCAGATCTGTGTTTGTGTGTGTGGTTGAGTAAGGGAGACAGAGAGCCTGTGCCTCTTCTAATTAAATGGAACAGACAGGGAAGAAGGAGAGGGGGTGGGGGGGGGGGGGGTGGAGAGAGAGAGAGAAATAGATAGGGAGAGAGGCTCTTGTTTAATTTTAAGTCAAGCATCATCATTACCAATCATTAGGATTCCGCCACGCTCTGTTTTGTCCATGATTATCATTAGTGTCCTCTGAAACAATGTGTCTGTGTCTGTGGGTTGTTGAGTGGTGTTCAACGTGCCCGACCAACGCTGTCATATTTAGCATGTTTGCAAGAATTTAATCTGGAAAAAAATGTATTTGTGTCACACTGTTATCCGTCTCACTCTGAATCACTTCGTATTAACCTCCGAGGTTAGGACGTGTTTTCAGATAGATTTTTTTGCAGGATTACGGAGAAACTGGTGGCCTGATTTTCAAAAAACTTCATAGAAGGGTTTATGGCAAAGAAAGAACTCATTACATTTTGGGATGGATCCGAATCCCAAAGCGGTTAAACACTACTCAAACAATAAAATATACAGAATTACATCAAAAAGTACTTTAACCGTGACGCTTCCTTAATAAAAAAAATAGGAAGTTTAAGTGAGTCTAAACTGAATCTATAGCATATACCTCCACCAACCAGTCAACATTCAATTTACATTCATGTCGGATCAAACTGTTATCACTTTGTCCTTTTATCCTACTAGACATTTGCGTGAATAGTCATAAATAGCATATTCATTTTGAGGGATAGACAACACGTTTTGTAAGTTCACAGAGACCAAGGTCTTGGTCTTTAAAATTAATAAGTTCCTCCTTTGTGCAAAAATTGGTAGATATTTCCTGAAGGCGTCCTTGAGATATGTCGTTTACAAGAATAAGACGGGCAACCCAAACACATAATACATATTAAAGTATGCACACTCATATATGCCAGCAAGCTTATATTAATTGATGGATTTGGTTTTAGGACAAGATATTGGGAAAGTTTGCTGTCCCTCAGTTTCACTTCATTCAAAATCCCCCTCAACCCATTAAATTACCCTGAGCAAGTCACAAGGACTGCATAGGCTTAACAATATATATTCCTATATTTACCATGCATGACTGCTTTCCGAGCAATTAAATAGCATTTCAAACACAGTGTGTGCAGAAGAGGTCATTTAGGATATGTCTGAGCCCCAATTTTATTGGCCGCCTGGTTGGTTAAATTCATCTTCTTATGAACCATCACATTTCCCTGATCTCTTGTGTGTGTGCCCGGCATCTCAAAAGGCTTTCAGGGTTCTTCCCTCAGGGTATCACATCCCAACACCTGCACAGATTATATCTAGAGGATGTTCTCTCACAGTCATGCGCATGATAGTGTGATGGTTACAAGCTGCAGCTAAGCATCATCAACAACAACACTGAAGTGTCCGTAATTATAGGAAAAAAGCCTCTTCAAAGCTGTTAGAGCATTTATATGACAGTTAACAAGAGTTCAGAGTAAAAGCCTTGCTTTGGCAGCCTGCTGGCCCTAGTAGTTGGCATAGCAACCAACAAAAAATACGACAGGCTCTGCTTTAGCGTCCAATAAATTACAGCAATCTCTGAAAAATGTCTCTGACCAATCAAATCTTTTTTCATATGAAACTATCTCTCAATAATAGCAAGCTTCTACAAACACACAGCTTTAACTGCTATCATATAGGTGGAGCAAGTCCTCGCGTAATACGCCAGCAGAGATAATACGCCCCAAGGGAGTCCGGCTAGAACTCATGAAGAATTCAAAACTTGTTTGGCGATCTGCCACTGCGGAGTGGAGCTTCAATCTCGAGCGGCTCTGGAGGAGAAACCGGGTCAGCAGCAGTCTTTACTTCTGTCAGGATGGAAACAGTGATACAGGGAGTGCCTCCACCGGAGTGAGGAGACACTAAGCTGGAAACAAGTCCACTTATCCATCCCGGGGACTAATTAGTCACCAGCTAATTTGCTTGCTGTGACCCAACAGAGCTCAACCTGAGGCTCAGGACTCTCTAAGGATCGCATGAGCGGATGCCGTGCCTACAAATTACTTTTTATTAAACGAACAACAGGATGTAATACAGCACTTTCCTCTGTTGGCCATGCACTTTCACTGTTGCCAGGGGTTTCCTTTGGCAGGTCCAGTATTTTTCATGCTCTAAAGTCTCACTCCATACTCCGCAATCGAACAACGCTAGAATTAATAACTCATTCTGAAATTAGCTGACTGATAAGCTCTGTCAAGCAAGGGATTGGTACGGAAACCAAGTATTATACAGGCTAAAAGATTAAAGGTCACCTATTATAGTATTTTTCAACTATATATTATAGGTCTCAGATAAAAACAAAACAAGTATGTGAAGTGTTTGGCTCGAAAAACCAAACCGATCATGAATTGTAGCATGCCATAAACCCCTCTGTTTCAGCCCTGTTTCAAAAGTGCTGATTCTGTGTCCGTAGCTTTAAATGCAAATGAGCTGCTGCTGGCCACGCCCCTCTGAGAAGTGTTAGGTTAAAAAAAAAAAACGCAATGGTGCTCAATATGTGCAATGAAACATTTGCGAGTAAAAAGTGAATACTTTATAGATCCACCTGTGTAATAAGCATGAACATGTATGTATAGCACGCTAACCTGGCTAGTGCCATATTGTTACAAACAAGCGGTGATCAGAAGTCGGAAGTTTGTTTGTCGTCTCACTGCTTAGTTTGCCACATGTTGGTTGTGTATGCCTCAGTCAACAACCTTGAAATGTACTATTTGGCGTTTTATTGGTGTCTGGGTCAAAGGTTTGTGTCTCCCTTTATTTATTTCAACAACCAAGAAAGGCTGCTCATGTTTGCAGGAGAGTGACTTGATTATGTCATACATCCAACCTGTAAATAACAGGATTTGTTTCTCTTTACTGGTCTAAAAAAGAAAACCTTGAAGGAACCAGTTGCTTTTTTCACACTGAGGACTTACCGTGAGATGCATTTTAACAGAACACATGATGAGCTTAACACTGTGCATGTGTTTTTGAGTGCCTTTACCTTGCGGCCGTCGCTTGCATGGCAGTTGACGTTGAGCGGTGTGAGCAAGGCCATTAGCTTCTCCTCGTTTCCACTCCTGCAAATTGAAACACACACACACACATCCAGGCATTAGATAGAAAACATCCAATACCAGAGAGGATTAGCCCTGTTCCTCTGCAGGAGAGTGTGGGGGAGAAAATAAGGAAGAATGAGATAAGAAAAGGAAGAAACACACTGAAGAAAATGGATGTTTGGAGGGGATGGATTGAAAGCTATTTTTGTGTGTGTGTTTTCTTGTAAAAATGATTGCAATAAAATAAAAACTGTGAAGGAAAACTATTAAGTCTAGTTGCAGTGGAGTTTGTTATGTTGTTGATCGGTGTTTCCTGGTCCCTAGGCTCACTGCCTTGGCATTGGTGTGACCACCAGGAAAGGGTTGCCAAGGCAGCGACCAGTCCAACCATCATCTGCCTGACAGCCGTAAAGGAGGAAGCTGTCAGATGGAAAGAAAAGGATTATTCTTCCATTCTCCTATGTTGCTTTCCTCTCACTCACTTTTTTTGGTTGGGCCTCTCCTTCCTTCTCTTTGTTTCTCTATCTTACACTCTCTGAGCAAAAGAGACATTCACAACTTCCAATCTCTACTCTCACTCTTCCAGTTTTCTTTGCCAACTACCTTTAAGGCTCATACTAACTTTTCGCATTGTGTGTCCGTGGACCGCCAATTGCACATTTACCTATTTACACTGCATGTTAACTTCAATGCCATGTGGCTTTCTTTGCATACCTTTATGATGTAAATAACTGCTGTATCAGTGAACCATCTCATACATCTCTCTTTAAAACAACCATTCAGTTTATGATTATCTTTGCCTTGTTCCTTTTCTGAAAACCAGCTCGAGCTGTATATTCCACCAACTGGACTACAGTGTTGAACCTAACAGGTGCACAGTCATTGCACTAGCTAAGCGTACAGTCTTGCAGTCACACATTTTGAGTTGCACGCAGACAGTCCTCACCATCTTCTCCGGGAGGTCGTATCCTGATCACCATGTTCACAGATCCAAAGTGATTCTATTTCTAAAACACATTCAAAAGGAGCATGAGTAGCATTTTCTTCTTTTATATTTTTGGAGATTGTCAGATCTCACACACATGATCTACAGTGGCCATCGAGGGACAGTGCTCACAACCATGCCTGAATATTTATAAATGTTTTCACGTAAGAAATGAAAAATGCTTTTCTGAAATCTCTAAGTGTGACTGGATCTCCACTGCTTCTTTTTCGATTATCTGATCTCAGAGCCTTCAAATCACCAAAGCCGATGGGTAATGGTGGTGGCGAAGTCGATAGGGACTTGGCTTGGCAACTGAAAGGTCACCAGTTCGAGTCCCGGCAAGACCAAGTGCTACCGAGGTGTCCCTGAGCAAGGCACCGTTCCCTACACTGCTCCCCGGGCGCCGGACATAATGGCAGCACACTGCTCCTAACACTAGGATGGGTCAAATGCAGAGGAACAATTTCGTTACATAGTACCTGTACTGTGAAATGACAAAAAGAGCAATTTTTTTTTTTTTTTTAATGGTGACAATACCAAAGAAGAACAGCCTTTGGATACTCAACATTTACATTTGGACTGGTTAATGCTGTTCTAATATCAATATATTAGGTAGGTGTTATATGGAAAGTGCCGCTCCTTGTATAAGCTTACCGATCAAAATACTGATCAGAAGTACAATTTTGATTGAATAGTACTTTCAAAGTATAAATGCTAACAGATCAGACAAACATCATTTCAGATGTTGAATGTTACCCAGACTTGTAATGCCGGCTTGTTGTCTGCCTGGCTGCCTTAAAGAGACAGACTAGGTTTACTACAGTACTTCTGTAATACATCTGCTGTCGAGGACATTAATGATAATGCTTTGCTCAGTCAATGCATCAAGCAACTCCATTACTCTCAGACTATGTGGAACCATTTTACCAGCTTTACTCCTGTGCAAGGAAAATCTGGCCCACAAATAAAAACGGGGAAAAAATGAAGCAGAAAAACATCCCGTAAGCCATGTTATTTCACCAAAAGGAACACTTAGAAAAATGTTTTTCTTTGGATTGACATTGAGCCAGTCAGTGCCTCAGCTGTGATGGAGGCACACTGAGTTCACAGTTCACACTTAAACAGCCTGCTGACCCCAATAATACACTGGGGTACTGCGATGTTAAGCCAGCTGCTTCCCTGTGTGTGTGTGCGTGTGTGTGTGTGTGTGTGTGTGTGTGTGTGTGTGTGTGCGTGCGTGCGTGCGTGCGCCTGGGAATAGACAGAGAGAGGCTGTTGAGGCATTGAGCGCTCAGCCACCCACACCCAATCCCAAACGAAAGCTATGCCATTCCTACAAACACACAGGCACATGGTGCACACACACACACAGGCACATGGTGCACACACACACACAGGCACATGGTGCACACACACAAACACATTGCCCACATGGTTTGCCTGCAACCATAACATTCCTCTAAAATGCACAAGTGTCCCTGGCCTACATGTTCTCTGGATCTGAAAAACCTGTCTAGTGGAGGAGCTTGGTGTGTGTGTGTGTGTGTGTGTGTGTGTGTGTGTGTGTGTGTGTGTGTGTGTGTGTGTGTGTGTGTGTGTGGGGTTGTGTTTGTGTGTGGTTGTGATGGAGGGAAAGGAAAGAAGAAGGAAGGACAGGATGAAAAAAAGGAGAGGAGAAACAAAATGGAAAAACAGGAGAGGGAATAGAGGATGAATCAAGCATACAAACACAAAAGGAGAGAGGAGGGTAAGAAACAAGGACATGAAACAGAAAACACAAGTGGATCAAAGAGAAGAGGAAGGGGCAGGAGCAGAGAGGAGGGAAAAGGAGGAAACAGTGAACAAGGAAGGGACGAGGAAAGAAGTGATGAGAGGAAACAAGACGTGGAAAGGAAACAGAGAAGAGAAGAAAGTAAGCATGGGAACAAGAGGCTGAGAGGGAGTCAAGGAAACGAGGAAGAGTCAAAACATGAGAGGGTGTCAAAGAGCAGGAGATAAGGCAGGAAGCAGGAGTGTGTGTGGGGGGGGGGGGGGGGGGGGGGGGGGGGGGGTGGGCAAATGAAAACAAAGAGAGTGGTACTCACCTCGCCGCCTCCAGCAGCTCATCCTTCTTGTATTCACCTGGATGGTGACAGAAGATCATAGAGTCAGACAGGCGGCCGCCAACACACACCGACCACACACACACACACATGATCAGCCACACACACATGTACACACACACACAGAAGAAGGGAAGCATCTATCCATTGAAGGAAGACACCCTCTCTCTCTCTCTCTCTCTCTCTCTCTCTCTTTCTTTCTTTCTTTCTTTCTCTCTCTCTCTCTCTCCTCCTCCCCCCTCCTCTCTTTCTCTCTCTGCCATTCTCGCACAGTGCGCACCCCTCTGGCTCCGGTTGCCTTGGCGATGCGTTGCCGGCAGCGACCACAGCACGTTCATTGTTTGGGCAACGAGCGGCGGACTGACGCTCGCTGTGCCTCTACGCGTCTGTGTGTCGGTGCATTGCTCCCGCCGCGCTCGTCTCCCGTCTCTCGCCCGCCGCTCATACTGCTAACCATCTGCCCTTGTTCTCCATCATCTCTGTCCCCCTCTCTCTCTCTCTCTCTCTCCCTGATTTTTCTCCCCTGTGGGCTCATGAGGCGCAGTCACCATAAAAAGAAAAACCACAACAGAAATAAACAAACCCCTCCCCCTACCTCCCTCGCCCTCTTTCCCTCTCTTAGCCCTGCCCCCCTGCTACTACAGTCACAACACACACACCTTCCCATATGTCTGCTCCGCCTGGGAAACACAGAGGGGGGGGGGGGGGGGGGGATCATTGCTGAATTGTTAATACCATAAAGCCTTTACTTAAACTAACATACATCTTCCTTAAGGGGTGCACCATGTTTACGTTACATGGAATATTTTTTCAATTTATTTTTTTCTTTTAATGTTAACAATATTTATATTAATTTTATTTATTATTTATTGTTATCTTACAATTTTGCTGTTTTATTACTTTAATTATTATAATCTTTTTTACTTGTTTTTTTATTGATTGACTGTCTCTTTCTCTGCATGGGTGGATATATTAATATGTACATTGAACTCTTCAGAAACGCGGACGACGGTGTGTGTTTCTTCCTTCGTCATGTGTTAAACTATGTTCACGGTATTCCTACCCTAAGATGGCAACGTCAACAGGTAATACAAACTGAAAACCTAAACCATGAATGCCCTAAAGAAATGTAATTAACAAAGTGATAATAGTCGTGTTGCTTGACTGTGTTTTGCATTGTTGGAAAATAACCAACTTTTTTTTAAAGTGGCGAAAAATGAAATGGGCATGCTTCCTTTTGGTCAGCCTCCAAAACATTTGATCCTACACTTCCCATAATGCAACTCAATAGTACATTCCATCAGTCCGGCCCTATCTTAAATGCCCACCTCTCAGTTTGGACCACAGGCTTTCTTCTAATATTATTAAGTCTCCAGCACTGTCTGATGGGTTAGGGTTACGTTTTAGGGTAGTACTCTTGTAAATAGTAAAAGTCTGCATTTTTATGGGCAGTTACATGCTGGAGCTATTTCTCTCTGGACTCTATTGTAAGACAGCTATGGGAGCTATATGGCTGAACTTTGTAAGCAGTGCTATTCTTAAATTAAAATAGGTCTACAGAACAAAAGAAGAACAGATTTGGCCAGTGGATGAGTTCTAACAATAGAAAAGGAGCCACAAAAGGATGTGTGATGTAGGACTCGAGGAGACCAAACCAGTGACCCTCCAACACGTCATCAAGGTAAACAATGTGTTTTACAGAAAGCCACAAGAAAGGTCCAACCAAGTAAGATTACCTTTGAGACTTCCACTGAAAAGTCCCACGAGGGCTTATTCATACATAAAAACCAATATGTAAAATTACATATTTACCCAACGCAGTTCATCTCCGAAAGGGGCCCCCGAGTAAAAGAGAGAGGTATAAAATTGGTATAGGATAGGAAAGGAGAAAAGTAATTCAAAGGAATATGGAGAGGTAAATGTGATACAGATAAATTGAAAACGGATGAGGAGGATGAGGAAGATGGGCCGAGTGTACACGGCGCAGACGGAGGGGTGCGGTGAGGAGAGGAGAAGAAAGGTTACGGAGAAGGGAAAAGGGGGAGGAGGGAGGAACAAAGGATTTGTAGATGAAAGAGAGGAGGGATGATTAGGGATCTGGAAACTGACATGCATGGATTTGACACAGTATAATTGGTGTTAGGGAGGCTAAGGCGGAACAGTCAGCGGAAGACGAAAGGGGGGAGACGGGGACGTGGGGGGGGGGGGATAAGAATACAAAGAGAGAACAGAGAAATGTTCGGAGACCAATCGAGATGTTAAATTAGATTCTGTACATTTCAAGTGCGGATAATCTTTTTTCCCCTACACACCTGACTGTCACGCTGCTCAGATGGATTTTAATATCAGAATGTTATCATTTATATTTAAGTGCATTAAAACTATGTCTTTTTTATTTGGTAATACCGTTCTATTTTGGTTGGGAGTTGGGATGAACGCTCAAAGACGCTACCTGATGTTTTCACACTGTCAACTTTATCGTGACACTTTATTGTTTGGATAACAAAGCTGATATGAACCTCATTGTTCAGCATTGTCTTCGAAACAACATTTTCCCCTCCCACAGATTTCCCCCTTGGCACGTTAACTTCTCTGCATCCTTCCTTCTCCTCCACGGTCTGAGAATCTAAAGGGAAAGATTTATTTTTTGATTTATGACCAATGACAAGAAGGGAGTGACTCAGTCTCCCAATTCAATCAGACAGAGTGTAATTTACACCTGAATGAAAACATATTCTATACCAACACGTTCTGCTGACTCCGCTGCCGTGCATAGTGTGCAAATGAAGGCGTTCAAATGAATTGTGGGCAATACTTTATAGATATACTTTTTGCCCGACAGCGGTTTGCTTCCAATATTATTCATGCTTAGAGAGCTAAAGTGATTGTCACTCAGCAGTTATAATTAGTTTCTCTCTCGCACACACACACACACACACAACCCAAACCTCACACAAACACACACAAAGCAAGGACAAAGATGGATAGGCTTATTATGGATTATATATTTGACATTACAAATATTTTCTAACACACAAGATGGTAAATGGACTGTATTTATATAGCGCTTTATCCAGTATTTTCGACTCCTCGAATCGTATTTACAAGTCAGCATTCACACACATTTATGCAGACAAACATGTTGGGAGCAGTGAAGCTAACATAACATTTTTAGTGACTTAAGTACATTTTCTTGAAATGTAACTACCATTAGAAGGCGCAAAAGACACATTCTGCATCATGCAATCCGAGATGAAAAAAACGTTTTTCATTCCCTGGTGACTGTCCATAATGCATCATAGGATGAGCTGCTGCGAGCCTCAAATGATGTGTTGAAGGAGAATTATTTGTCTAATGTTCAGGTTACATTTTGGGATTACAATAAGAAAAAAACTTTAATGTTGAACATGTACATTGCTTTTTCTTATACTGTCTGCCAGGTTTGCGAAGAATATGATGCAGTTTTGCAAAGGTGGTCCTCCGCCGTTGGTGGAAATATTCAGATATAAGTGTCATATTGTAATGAGCCAACATGTGACAAAGAAAAGAGAGCTACATTTGAATGTCTTGATGAAACCTTTGTTATAGGCAGCCGACAGAATACTGACTGGGTCGTCCAAAGTTCAATACCCAGCCCTTGCAGTCAACATGATGTTGGTGGCACCTTGAATGGCAACCTTTGTCTATGTACAATAACTTTTGGAAATACAGTCCATTACTATTATATTTAGCATTTAGTTTGTGGGTTGGTAACACTTCAGATACTCATATCGATCTGGAAAGTCATGAAAAAGTGACCTTCACAATAGGTCCCTAACCTTGCTTGCATGCATAATGGTTGACAACAGATAAGGATGAGGAACTGCCTTCATTAGGAAATTCCAGCTACGTGGTATAAGGATATATGTAAATGAACACATCTTGGTCTCACCGTGTTTGTGTAGTGTGGGTCAGTAAGTGTGGGTCAGTGTGTGGGTGTGGGTGTGTGTGTGTGTGTGTGTGTGTGTGTGTGTGTGTGTGTGTGGACAATTCTGCTGACTCCAAACAGAAGAGACAAGGACAGGTTAAAGCTCTGACTGGCTAGGTGCCTCATGAATGATGATATTGTGTGGGAGAGAGAGAGAGAGAGTGTGTGTGTGTGTGTGTGTGTGTGTGTTGGCAGAGTGCAGTAGACACTAGTGATCACTCTTTGAATTCCAATTGTTGTATACTTGCAAGCATGTACTCATCTGCATGCACATGGTGGTATGTGTGTGTGTGTACGTGTGAGACTGTGTGTGTAAAGTTATGTTTGTGCATGCGCAAGTGGGATTCCAGGGTCGTGCACAGGTGAGAACAAGTCAATGTCAAACCGTCACAATCCTATATATATCTTGACTGTGAAGCAAGGACCTAGTGTATTCTTCCAGGGTGTGTGTGTGTGTGTGTGTGTGTGTGTGTGTGTACTAAGTGGCTGTACAAGCACAAATGATGCTGACCGATGATGACTGGACCATGAGTCGCCTCAGTGCCCAGCTGTCCGCTTGCGTTGTGTGTGTGTGTGTGTTGGCTTGTTTGCATCAAATATCATTTATTGTGGAAGCAGTTTAAACAGTGTTATACAACAAATGGCTTTGAGTCAGGACTTGAGCGATCCACTTGTAACTCAGCAAGGTTGCAACCTCTGGGATGGATCTGTGAGACCAATCCACGAGGGGAATATATGAAGTATATGGGGGGAGCGGAAATTATAAAAGAGGGGGATTGGGCTTTTTTGCTAGCTAAATCCAGTTACTTCACCCACTCTCACTACTTACACTGTGATGAATGCTCCACACAGTGCACCAGAGGGAGATTAACTGTGTGTTGTTGGCCACCTTCTTGCACCTTGCTGAGTTTGTAAACAAAGCAGGACCTTTTTAAGTTATATATGTGGGTTGGCATGCACTCCAGATACCAAAATGTGCCATGATCAGAAAAAGTGTGTTTTTCCCCCTATAAAGAACATAACGGTGACAAAATCCCTCTCTATCTCCAACC